CCCGCTTTTGTGTCTTGGTAACGGTAGCTTGGCAATCCAGACAGCTTGTCTTACACCACTAGCACAAGAGCTGATTTACAAGTTCAAGTAAGGAAACATGGCATTCCTTTACCGCGCTAGCGCTTATTGATAGCTCTCTCTTATAGTCTGGTTTAGCTTTATATTTGCAGGAGGGAATAGCTCAAATCACACTCACTAAAGAATAATTGAGACTCGGGTAGTTTTATTGCTTTTTGCCAGATTGCAATAGTTGGTTTACTGTACCACAATGATCCCATAATGTCATTGCTGGGAGACCGCAGAGTGGATTCTGCTCATTTTTACACACCCTAGTCTGGTGTACGAGCTTGACTGAAGCACATCAAAGCCGCTAGGGCTCCCTACCTTGGTCTCTGTCCTTAAAAGTGCATTCTGTATTTCTCAAAAGTTACAGAAGAACTCAAGAAAACACACCAGTATTACTATTCAAAATCCAGACAGGATCTGTAAACACGGCCTGTAACACTATCCTCTCCCGTCTTGCTTCCCGGTCCTCCGAAAACAGCAGTGTAAACAAGCGACGCTCCACGAGAGAAGAAAAACTGTGCAAGCCTCGGCAACGGGCTGATCTATAGAGGAGAAGCAGAAGGGTCCTGTCTAAACACGGCCTCTTATTAAATACGGTGTGACGTAAAAGCGCAGGGGGAGAGGTCAAGGTTACTCAAACACTGAACATGGGCAGTGGCCTGACGGAAACAAATGCAGAAGAATGACAACCTGTCTTGGTATGAAATGGTGATAAAGTGTGTGTACATATATACTAGCATTCAAAAGTTTGGGGTCAGTAAGTTTTTTTTTTTTTTTAAGAAATAAATTATTTTATTAATCAAGGATGCATTAAATTAATCAAATATCATTTATAAAGTTACAAAAAAAATCTTTTCAGCTTCATACTCATTAAAGAATTCTGAAAAAAGGTTGCAGATACATATATTAAGCAGCACAACTGTTTTCAACTTGATGATGATAAATATTTCTTGAGCAACAAATCAGCATATCAGAATGATTTCTGAAGGATCATGTGAAGACTGGAGTAATGATGCTGAAAATTCAGTTTTGCATAGCAGGAATACATTTCATTTAAAATATATTCAAATGCAAAACGGTTATTTTAAATTGTAATAAAATTCCGCAATGTTACTGTTTTTATAGAATTTTTGTCAAATAAAGCAGCTTTGTTGATCATATTTGAAATATATATATATATATATATATATATATATATATTAACCTAAATTGCACCTACTACCAAATACTAACAATTTATTCATTCATGAAAGATTTTGACAATTACTTTCATTTTCAACTGAGCATCATTCATTTGATCATAATTTAGTTGTCTTTTGGCCTGAAATCAAATGCCTTTTAAAGCATAATGGACTAAAACGAAGGACTACGACATGACAAAACATTAATGATTTGTTAAAATTTGTTGAAAAATGGTTTTATATTAACATTTGTGCATTTTTTAAAAGCGTTAAATTATTAGAGATTGTTTAATATTGCATATTCCACTTGATTTACTCGTTTTCTCTTGCCTTTCCTACTTTTTTTCTCACGTCGCTCACAATTTCAGGTTTCACCGACATGTTCCCCATCTGTGACTCATTGCAGTTCCCAGAAATTATTTCATTTTTATGTAATGTGCATCATGGCCCAAATATGTTGCTCCCCCCAAACAAAACAAAAACGCATATTTGTGTTGCTGTGGCAATCATTCTAAAACACGTTCCTTCCGAGTTCCTCGGATAGTCCGGATAGTCTTGAGTGCGACCACGCAGGAACCCGGCACCCACCATCTCATAATGTCTGTGGCAAAAAAAATCTTGGGATGATACTTGTGGAAACAATGCTCCAATCCCTGGAGCTTCACCTTCCATTTATCCTCCAGAAAGGCCCGTTTGTATTTCTAAATTAAGTTTCTGCCTCCTTTTATGGGCCTTCGTGTTCCTGAGCCCACTGTGTAAAGGGCCTTTTGAAAGCGGGGTTTTAACACACAATTGGATTACAGCAAAGCACTTGGTGAGAAAGCGGCGGGTTGGGACGAGCGGACCTGCGAGAAGTACAGATGGTTTAGCGCATGCATAATGAAACAGACCAGGCAGTGTGTGTGTGTGAGTGTATGCACACGCCCCCCTAAAGCCCTCGGCCTGGCCTGGGAGAGGAAGGAGGCAGTCGGAGTCGGAGGCAAGCCAGGGGGCATAACGCTTCTGCCCAACCTGCCTGCCGCCGCAAGCTGGTCCTAATGATCTAATTAGGGAATCACCTCGCCGACTAATTCGGCCACGTTCAAGCAACCTGAGCCCCTCTCAATTATCCCAGGCTTATTATCAGACGTTAAACGACGTCATTTTACCTCGGTGTCCCTTTTCGATTGTTCCATAATGAATTCCGTTGTCGAATCGAGGCGGAATAACACGTCGACTGAGTCACTCCAGGTTGCTTTTCTTCTCCCAAACCCGAGCGCCGTTCCCATCTTTTTGATGGTGTGAGAACAAAATTAGAGATACGCAGGAACCATCCCTCCTCTGTCTTTCAATCGGCGGCCCATAGAGTGGCTTGTTATGCTCTTGTATAGAGGATTTAGGCCTGGTGAATGGGCCTGTTTGTGCACGGTATTTAGTTGTTTGTTGTTTAGTGTCTTTTTTGTTGTTTATTTCGGGCGGGAGGGGGTTTTTTCTTTCCCCCCTCGCTCTCCAAGGGCCCTCGACAGGGGGTAAATGCAGATGTGACACACAGAGTCTGGGTCTCACGCCTCATTTGCATATTTAATTAGCAATGGGCACTGTGTGAGAGAGCACTTGGTCTGCGGAGGGCAACTGGGAGAGTGTGTGAAAGTCCCCGCACACACGCACCCACCCGGCCCCTTTGGTTGCGCTTTCACATATCTCTGGGCTGTTGCTGGGGCGGGGGGTGTTGCCGCATGTTTTTGTTTTTTTTTTTCGTTGTTTCGGCCCACTCCTCAGATTGCCTTTGTTTTAAACTGTTGATGCAGACGGCAACGCTGAGCTGAATGCAAACAAGGCCCTAAATTGTTTACTTTGTCTAGGAGCAGATGAAGGGGCTGGACAAACTTTTTTTTTTTGGGTGGTGGTGGGGGTCTGGGATTTGCTTTTCTTTTTTTATCAAAAGTTACTTTCCGTCATTTATCGTTAACTGAAATTTGAATAATTTTTGTACGCTAATTATTGCACAATTTAGCCTATGGGTTGCATTTGTGTTCCAAAAAGTATTCTGTCAAAAATGAAGTGGAAGAAGTCATAAATCTTTTTCTTCTTTTATCAAAAGTTTATTTTCGTATTTATCGTTAACCGCATTTTTGTGCAGTTTAGCCGTTGTTACAATTGTGTTCCAAAGTGATGTTTTATCGTATATTCTGCCCAAAAAATAGGTGAAAAGGTCATGAATCTTTTTCTTCTTTTATCAAAAAATTTTTTTCATGATATATTCATTACCCAATCTGAAGAATTATTGTATGCTAGTTATTGCACAATTTAGCCTAGTAGTTACATTTGTGTTCCAAAGTGAAGTTTTAAGGTTTATTTTTCCAAAAACTAAAGTGAAAAAAAGTATTGTATCTTTTTCCTTTTCTGTGATTAGCTGAAGATGTTTCTGAGATTTCGCCATTTAGTTAAAATTGTGTTCCAAAGTGATGTTTCAACATATTCTGCCAAAAAAAAAAAATTTTGTGAAAAGGTCATGAATCTTTTTCTTCTTTTATTAAAAGTTTGTTTTCCATGAGCATTTTTGTACACTAATTTTTGCACCGTTTAGACTTTTAGTTTAATTTGTGTTTCAAAGTGATATTTTTAACATGTATTCTGCCAAAAATTGAAATGTAAAAAGTCATGAATCAGATTCCGATCCCAACTTCGCCAGCCATTTTGTTTCGTGTGCTTGCTAGCGTGACATAGGTAATATTTCTCCCAGCATGACTATTTTATCTCCAGTGGGAAATCAATACTCACCCCAGCTTCTAAATCATCTTAAAGGGTGTTTCTTTGCCATTTTTGGCTGTCATAGAAGAGTTAAAGGGACCCGGGTGAATCTTTGCGAAATTTCCCTTAACGTCACGGCACGAATCATTGCTATCGCAGCTAATGGCACCGTTAAAGAGCACTTCTTGGGAGAAATCGGAGCCCATCAAATTTATAGGGCCTTTTTTATGCAGTACACCCAGGTCTGAAGGCTTTCTCTCTCTCTAGACTTATTTCCATAAGTGCCTCGGCTGCAAATAGCACACTCAGTGTGAATTCACAGCCCAGACCCCACTGTCGGTCTGACCTACCGAGCCGCGTGCCAAAAGGACATTGGCTAGAGTACAGTCAGACCTTCTATTCCGATAACTTCCCTTTTCATCTGAATGCTAATAAATACAGTCTGAAATTTACGGTTAGGCCTGTCAGTTGATTTATATAATCACAGAATTCACTTTTATTTTATTTTATTTTGTAAATTGGAATTATTTATATTTACATCTTAATAAAATAAAAGTAATTTACCTTATTGTTCACATATATATTTAAATATTAAAAATATATATATTGTTCATATATATATATATATATATATATATAAATACATATATTTAATAAACCACATTACTTAACCTGTTAAATTACATCCGCAGTCATTTAAAGCCTAGAAAGTCGGAGTATTTTTACGACGCATGCAGTTGTCTGTCGGCCTATTCTGTGGCAGCAGTCAGCTCTATTGAACCGGCAACACGGTGGCCTCCTGTGTACACACATCAGCATAGGGTTTCACCTGCGCGGCCAGTGTGCGGTTGGCTGCCAGACTACACGATCAGCATGGTGATTCCTTGGTACTCTGGACTAGACGTTTTGCATCTTGAGTCTTAGGACTGCAGAAACAGTTTTCGAGAGGCTGTCAAGTGAATGATTTCATTGTGGTCATGAAACAAAATCTCACTTTCTTTTTCTTTGTGTGTCTTTCTACAGAAGCGGGGCAGTCTGAAAGTCCGAACCAGCCCAGTGAAGGCGACATCAAGGACCAGCCAGAAAATGGTGAGTGTTTCTAGTCAAGTTTCGCAACATATCCAAAAATATGCATATACCTGTACAAATCCCAAACGTTATCCAGGTTTTTGGAGCCATGGCCTAGCATTAGCACATTTGCTCCCGGGGACCTTGAAGCTTGTACATTCTTAAAAATAAAGATTATATATGGTTCCATGAAGAACCGTTAACGTCCATGGCAGGGGCGGACTTACCCATTAGGCAGAGGTAGGCGACCGCCTTGGGTCCCCAAATGCCAAGGGCCCCCTAAAATGCTTTTCATATAAGAGATGCGCATTAAGCGCTGACACGCGAACGGTTGCTGGTTACGGTGTTTATTACCACGACAGCCATCTGAATTGAACGTGCTTTTTGTGTATTCTGCTTGAAGGAGATGAAAATATTATGCATCTGAAGTAGGGCTGGACAATAATTCAATATCAATATGTATCGCAATATAATTTTTTTCAATAATGGTGATATGATTTTTAAACACATTTCCGATATTTCGATATACATTACCAGTGTTTCCCATACATTGATTTATTTGTGGCTTTTGACTTCGTTGAATAAACATGAGCACTGCACGTTTCAAAATCATAACACAGCGCGGGTGTTTTATATGAATGTATCTCTGAAGGGAAAGGACTGTCTTCAGAAAAGCTTCCATGGCGTTTTCATTTTATCTGATAAAGAAGCGTTTATGAGCGGAGCTGATTTGATTACAGCCGTTACTGGAGAAACCGCTAGTTCAACTTAAAGCACCTCCTGCTGGCAGAGAATCAGTTTGCATTTTCAATAATAAACCCATTTCCAGCAACATGTTTTTGTTGTAGCTCTTTATTTTTTTTTCTGCAGAAACTCAGAGCACCTTTCATACCCTTTATACTGGCTAAAGCACATTTGTTTCAATCTATAAGAATAATCAGCCTACACTACCAGTCAAAGTTTTTGGACAGGAAGATTTTTTATGTTTTTTTTTTGTTTTTTTTTAGAATTCTCTTCTGCTCACCAAGCCTGCGTTTATTTGATCCAAAGTACAGCAAAAACAGTAACATTTTAAAATATTTTTACTATTTAAAATAACTGCTTTCTATTTGAATATATTTTAAAATGTAATTTATTCCTGTGATCAAAGCTGAATTTTCAGCATCATTACTCCAGCCTTCAGTGTCACATGATCCAGTAAACATTGTAATATGCCAATTTGCTAATTATGAATATTTAAAACAGTTTAAGCATTTTTTTATTTTTTCAACATAATAATAAATGATTTTTGAGCAGCAAATCGGAATATTAGAATGATTTCTGAAAGATCACGTGACTGGAATAATGATGCTAAAAATATATCTTTGAAATCACAGGAATGAAATGCATTTTAAAATAGAAAACAGTTATTTTAAATAGTAAAAATATTTCAAAATGTTACTGTTTTTGCTGTATTTTGGATCAAATAAATGCAGGCTTGTTGAGCAGAAGAGAATTCTTTAAAAACATTAAAAATCTTACTGTTCAAAAACTTTTGACTGGTAGTGTATGTTAGCTTATAGTTTGAAGTTAAAGATATTAATATTAATTAGGTGAGTCTGAGACGATTATTTGACAGTGATTTCACATTTCTTGTTTGTATGAAGGCTAAATACAAATAAAAGGTGAACATTAATTAATTTGTGCTGGTTTTTTTTCTCCCTAAAATATTATATGGTTTTATATGAGGTGTCAAGACTTGTCAAATTCATTTTTCATAAGTTTGTATGCACAGACATCTGTTGTGGGCGTTCTTGGCAGTTTTTACAAGGCTTTTTTAAAATAAATGTTCATATCGATATCGGAATTATATCGTATCGACCGAAATTAATAAATATATTGTGATATACATTTAGGCCATATCATCCAGCCCTAATCTGAAGCTGTAATTAAATATTGAGAAACGGTGTGTATTATATGTTTATAATTGTTTTAATTGCGGCTTACTCATTTATGAGAAGGAACCATGTAGAGGACACATACGCAGTTACTTTTTTGGTTGATATAATCCTTAGGTGTGTAAATGTATAATTGCCTTTTCATTATTTGTTTCAGTTTTATTTAAATTTGTAGTTAAAATAACTAAAAATAAATGTATTTTAAAGTTTAGAATTAGACAGCCTTTGCAAACGGGCTTACGCTGGTAACTCATCAGCGGACTTTCCTCATCGGTATAGGCGATATATTTTTCACACTTTTCTCATTCTATATTTCTGACGTTCCAAAATCGCCTCCTACTGGCAGAGAATGAATGTTCATTTTCAATAATCCAGTCTGTAGTTTTTGTTCAATGCGAAAATCCACCCACATAACCCCGTTTTAAATTAAAATATTCATTTATACTTCTGACTCACCCCTGGTTTAAACGCTCAATTGTGAGGTTTATCATTTTATAATTGATATTGTTTTTGTGAAAACCTGTATCTCAACTGTAAATCAGTTGCTATTTCGTGGTCTACAACATGAAAGAAAGCCATTATAACATGTACATGAAAAATGTAGAAACATTGAACAACTATTGGGCACCATTGTGCAGCAGCAAGCATCACAGCAAAAAAGGAACCTCAAGGTTGATCTAGGAAAATGTGCGCAAATGTATAGGGCCCCATTACTATATTTTACTGTGTCACCCCAATTCACTAAATCCGCCCCTGGTCCATGGAGCCTTTTCATTGCGGAAAAGGTTCTTTACTGGAGGAAAGAGATTAGATTATTCTTTATATTATTAAAGTGATAGTTCACCCAAAAATTTGAATTCTGTCATTAATTACTCACCCTCATGTCGTTCCAAACCCGAAAGACCTTCATTCATCTTCGGAACAGATATTTTTAAAGAAAATATATTTTTGATGAAATCCGGAAGTTTTCTGACCCTGCATAGACAGCAACGCAACTGACACATTCAAGGCCCAGAAAGGTAGTAAGGACATCGTTAAAATAGTCCATGTGACATCAGTGGGTCAACCGTAATATTATGAACCTACGAGAATATTTTTGCACAAAGAAAATAAAAATAAATAACCACTTTATTCAATTATTTCTTCTCTTCCGAGCCAGTCTTCGATGCACATTTACTACCTTTCTGGGCGTTGAATGTGGCTGATGTCTATGGAGGGTCAGAAATCTCTCGGATTTAATCAGAAGTATCTTAATCTGTGTTCTGAAGATAAAATGATTCTTCCATTGCATCGGTATTAACATCCATGGAACCTTTCCACTGAACAAAATGCTCTTCATAAGGGAAAAATTTCTTTAATTTATTAAAATGTTCTTCACTCACATGTTCGTCACAGTGGTTTTAAGAAAGTTCTTTGGGGAACCAAAGATGGTTCTTCTCTTGCATCACTTTTGGAACCTTCATTTTTAAGAGTGTAGAACCTTTCCATTGCACAAAAATTTCTTTATAATCTTAATGGAAAGATTATTAAACTGCTCCTTACACCTTAAGAAAAATGTTTTGAGAAGAACTGTTCGCTGAAAGGTTCTTTTGGTAACCAAAAATGGTTTTACTAAAACTTTTGAAACCTTTATTTTTTTAGTAGTGAATGGGAAATGCAGGTTTGAATCTGGATTACATTATTTTGTCCCCAAAATATAGCTAGTTGGGGAAGTCGTGGCCTAATGGTTAGAGAGTCGGACTCGTAACCCAAAGGTTGTGGGTTCGAGTCTCATACTGGCAGGGACTGTAGGTGGGGGGAGTGAATGTACAGCGCTCTCTCCCACCTTCAATAACATGACTGAGGTGCACTTGAGCAAGGCGCCGAACCCCCAACTGCTCCCCGGGCGCCGCAGCAAAAAATGGCTGCCCACTACTCCGGGTGTGTGTTCACGGTGTGTGTGTGTTCACTGCTGTGTGTGTGCACTTTGGATGGGATAAATGCAGAGCACTAATTCCGAGTATGGGTTAACATACTTGGCCACATGTCACGTCACTTTGTAGTTCTTGTTAGCTAGTTGAGCTATAGTAAGAACTAGTTTGTGAATTTTTCACGTTGTCGAAGCTCCGGGACTCATTAGCGTGAGTGTGTTAGTATAAGCCAGAGGTGGGTGATTACTCTTAAGAGGATTGCGTCCACGTAAACTTGTGCGAAAAGTGGCATGTTTCCAGGGCAGATGGAGAATTGTTCTAAACGGGCTCTTTTAAAACAAACACAGAGCAGCAATTCTGCTGATTTTGTGTGTGTTTACAAATTATTAGCGGACAATGAAACAGTCTGTGTCGACTGATTTACAGTTTGAGAAAACATAAACACGATGATTGAATGGAAACAGTCCCCTGTTTGCTTGAGTTTAAACAGAGAATGATGTTGAAAAGTCCCGTTTTATCCTCCCTCACCCCCCCTGGAGCTCCGTTACGTGCGCGTCCCTCAACACTGGATTATAAGGCATATTTTCCTCCTAACTTAAAGATTATCGCAGATGTGCGCTGTGAAGCTTGAGCTATTATTTCCATGCCCTTGTGTGTGACACCAACATCGCCCTGTTTACTGAGATTAGAGGATACAGACAGATGAGCGTGTTCATCTCTCTCATCCTGCATGTAGCTGATATTATCTTTTCATCTCTCTCTCGTCGTGAACCAAAGATCACCCCTGAGTTGTGCCGATATAGGCTGCACATAATCACTCCTCTAATGTCTTTTTTTTTTCTTTCATATTTTCTCTCCCGTACGAATTCGCTCCATCTGGTATCTGTATCTGTCGTCCATGATCTTCAGATTATTTTCAGTTTTGATCTGAAGCAGTTCAGGCCAGTCCCAATCCAATCTGAGAACCTTGGTTTCATTCTTTTTAATTCACAAAACTGGTCTCAGATCAGCAGCTTTTGATATGCTGGATCTAAAAACAATGTATCCAAACTTTACTTGAAGACCTGAGACTTTATTTCACTGATTCTTAAAGGGATAGTTCACCAAAAAAATTATTAACGGAGAAATTACACAATACTTTCATTTAGGGATGCGCCGATGTATCGGCCGCCGA